ATAAAAATGTTATCCTGTGCAAAGACTACAGATGGAGTTTTAAATGCCTAGAAATCCTTCTGCTCTTCCTTGAGTTTAACTTGAAGGGCTTGACTGTCTCTCTCTTGTGTCCTCTTTTAATGTATCTTTAGAACAAAGCAACCTTGTACAGCATCATCAGTATGGGTTTAATATTTTGAAGTAGGATTTGCAGATGTCACCGACTTCAGCTCGATATGCAGGGCCCTCTGAAAGAGATACTGTGCTACTTGAGGGAGCTGTGGTAGGGCCAGAAATGCCGAACACAGCTTCTGCCCATAGACAGACATTGCGAGAGGTCCAACATTGATAACCCAGCCTTAACTCCACTCCAGCTTGCCTTTTGCCCTTTGTACATAATGCAGTGCATTTTCAGTTTGGTGCTATATATCTTTTCTAGTTCCTCTACAAAATTGTTTCAGTTACATCTTGGTCCAGAGCTGGATGCGATTCAGTGATAGGTGCAGGAGTTCTGCCATAGCTGTTGCTTACATGTGTAAAAATGTACATGTTAATTTGGACTTGTGAGAACTAAGCAACTATAGCACTTATTTTAAATATTTCTAGATAATTTAAAAATTATCTTATTATAGTGATCAACCTGTTTGTTGGTTTCAACTTTCATTTATAGCTGTTCTTTCATTGCTTTCTCGTGTACTGCATATTCTTTGTACACAATGCTGATGAACACGCATTTACTCATTTTCTGCCTGGAACTATTGTGCTGTCTTCAAGTATGTGCTTTGCCTTTAAAAGGGAATAACAAAAGCTCAGAGTTATGAGTTTGACATTTATTATTTCTTGCTGAAGAAACAGTCCTTGCATGTGAGTCTGTACAGCTTATTTAATGTGGGCAGAATGTATAAGTTAGACTTGAAACCTGATTTGACAACAGCAATGAGAGTAGTGTGTTTTAATGTCAAAAATGTAATTCAAAGGGGTAAAAAAACATAGCAGGAACAGAATAAACAAAATCAACATGACTTTTCCAATCAAATTTCATTGCTTTCAAGGATTGAAAAGATGAGACCTACAGGGTTGAATGTCCCTTTAACCCTCTCATATGTCAAGTCTCGTTACAGTTGCTTGGCTCTCCACAGACGATTTTAAAAGGTTGCTTATTCATCTCTTGTCCTTACCCTAAAGTTATGTCCAACTTTTCTGTTTTATTTCAACAAGTCATTGAACAACTTGAGATTTTAAAAATTAATATTTTCCTTTTGCAGTTTATTTAGGATGTTTTCTAAAACCATACTGGCTTGGAAACCATTGTTTTCCCCCTGTATTTTAAGAACTACATGTGTTATCTTCCGGGATGTCATGACTCATTCATTTTTTTGTTTTCTTTTGAGCATTGTGACACCTGAGAAAATCAGCGCTTCTGCGTAATGAGAAAATAAATACACATTTGTAGGAAATAAATTAATGAGATCAGAATACTTTTTCGAGGGGTTTACCTAATAAAACTTTCTTTCTGTAACTGAAAGCAAAATAATTGAACTGAAAAGCCTTGTTGTGAGTCATTAGAATTGAAGTTGCTGGTGAACGGGAGTTTTAAAATACTTTATCTGTTTCTCTGTCCAGTTTAGTAACTGCCATTGCAATAATCTCTGACTGTATCGCAAACATTTAGCAGTAATTATCTCTCTCCCTACATGCCTTTTAAAAGCCACATCAGCTTTCTTGGTTTGTGTCTGAGAATTGTAGTATTTTATGCTGAAAGTGGTCCCAGGAACAGTAAATTGTCTGTTGGAGCGAGCTCCTCCTTCATGTAAGAAAGAACAGCACATAGATCCCTTGGTAGATACCTTCTGGGCATCATATTATTTTCATATATAGCCTACAGATGTGCTTTCCTAACTCTGAGAATACAGTTTGCATATGTAAACAATGTGCTATGAGAAAGCCAGTACGTACATCTGCAGTAGGCCAGCTGCTAAGCGGTAACTGTTCCAAGTCATTTCCTTTCCTTTTCCTAGTACATGTGAAATAAATTTCAGCTTGTAGGTGAAAAGAAATAAACTACTTCGCGTACTGTGTGGTAAGATAAGAGTGTACATATTGCCAGGTTCTAGAGAGTAGCTGTTTTTTGAAAATTCACACCTTGGCTTATCCCACAGTGACTTGGTTGTGTACCCATACCTTAAGTTTAGGTCCAGCTGCTGTCAAAATTTTGTCACACTGATGAATTGTTTTACTGTCTTCCTACTGTTTTATGGTTCAAAAAGGATATTGGTTTAGGGTGCGTTTCAGGATTCTGCCACGGGCTTACCTCTTGGTGGCTGGAGGCATTCCCGTAGGGGACCCTGAGTGCCAGGAGAGAGGCCTCTGTTCATGTGGAGCATTGCAAGGAGAGGAATATCAGCTTATGTTTGCACAACAGCGTCCAGAACCGTTTGTCCCTGTTTCTTGGACAGATACAGGTGAACATAACTTGTTGTTTTGCTGGTCCCAAGTGTAGAGGTTGTTAACGTAATCTCGAACGTATGGGTATAAAGATAATCCTGGGAAAATGGTCATTTAGCAATAGTAGGGTTTATTGTAGAACAGGTAGTGCTATTTGATTATTTTTTTTTTTTTTTCCTTAGTTCCACTTCATATATCTTCTTTTCTCCCTGTGCTGGGCAGGCGAGATAACAAGAGGTAAAAATTTGAGGAGAAGGTTTAAAGCTGTGTAACAATAGTGCTTAAGACTGCACTGTCTCATTTGCTTTCCTGCTCATTCATGATACTGCATAGGAGAAGACACACAAGCATTTTTAAGTGAGGCCCTCAGTTGCCAAGTCCTGTCATCTGAAGAACAGAAAAGAACACTTAAGGCCAAACCACTGAGAGCAGAAGTTGCTCCAGGGTGTTCTCATCCTCCTCTAACCCAGCTTGAAGGTAGGACAGGAACGTGTGCTAGCTGAGCAGTGCTAAGTGTTGGTTGCAGAGGAGCTCGGCAGGATGAGAACAAGTGTTGCTTTTTCCTCAGCACGCTGGAGGAGGTAAATTCACCAGAGTGACAAATGTCTGTTCTCTGTGCTGTGACCTGAAGTCGGATGAAGAGCGTATACATTGACCTGCATAGATGGTGCTAATGGCTATTTATTGTTAGAAAAATAATGCCCTTTTTAATCCACTTTTTTTTAAGGGTGTTGGGTGTGTTGATATTTTTAAGCATCTTTTTTGTTGTTGTTGTTCAGCGCTGAACACGGTGGTGGCTGTTCCTAGATGAGCAGTAGATTTCCTGTTGGCGATGGCAGCTTTGTTAGTCACTTTATTTATAGATTTCTTCCTTTGTCTAGTCAAGCAAGTCGGAGGCTCTATCTGTCTGCTTCTCTGGCTCCTAATTATTTAATCTGTTCATGCAAATAAAACCTTGTGTTTCTGCTCCTACATTCGGGTTTATTACTGGTAACCCATGACACTAGTCTGGGTACAGGGTTCCTTTCTGTGAAATAGGGCAAGATTGGAGGTGGGAGCAGGGGAAATTATAGTGATTCTCTAGTCTAATCTCCCGAGTAAGACAAGCCAGAAAATCCAATGTCCAGTCCATAATTTCATCTGAAATTTCTACATGTCTCGGAAAGTGAGTTTAGGTTGACTGTAAATGCCAGTGGCTCCACCACAACCTTAGGCATGATGTTCCTGTAGTTAATTATCCTTTGGGTTTAATAATAACTTTAACACTTTGTTTCTAATTTGAACTTGTCAAACTTCAGTGGACAGCTATGAGATCTCATTGTGTCTTTTTTTTTCCCCGATTAAAGTGGGGATTAAACCAACCATATCTATTCTTAGATGAACAATTCCACATGGCACCAGGAAAAAGCCCCGTGTCCAAACAACTCACCACTCCATGCATTTGTTGTATAACATTTCCTTGATTGTATTTATTGTTTTTCACCAAAGAGGATTGCTTATGCTTGTCATGTAACAAAAACTCATTCTCATATGACTTCCAGTCATTCCTTACACCTTTATATACAGTTGCCTCCTACTTAGTTTTTTTTCTATTCAGGATGTGAAATTGTCCCTTTTAAAGCACTATGTTATGTAGAACTGTTTTTTTAATCCACACAACGTGAATTAAATTATTTTCTAACCAACTGAACTTTAATTCTTGATTTCTACTCGAAATCTAGTATACTTTTACCCTTGCTTACCTGCTGTGATTTTTTTTTTAGAAGTAGTTCATCACTTGTATTTTTCAGAAACTTAAAGATACTTTGTTGAGGAAAACTATTGGTATGCATTCCCTTCCTGGAGTCTTTCCTCTCGCGTTGTGCTCGTGTTTGGAAGGGCTCTTCATCACATTCCTTTCTGATTGAGCGGTTGACTGCAGATTTGTGTTGATACCAAGACTATAATGTGCCTTTTAATACGTTGACCCGTATCTACTCTAGATGAAAGGAGCAATCACTTTAAAGCAGATAGTGGTGTCTTTATTATACCACACAATTTGCTGGTCTCTTCTGTCTGTCTCAATGCTTTTTAAGATTGAAGTAATTTGAAAAATTCTGGCAGGCTTCAGAAATCATACTGAGTCGCAGTTATTATTAGAAGTGAGTTTTTCTCACTCTGTTCATTATACAGGTTTCCACTATTGGTGTATAAACAACTGGTTTGTTTCCTTTGCATCCCTTTACATTTTAGTGTTTTAGTTTTGAATCTTATATTCAGGTAATTGTATCATGTCGTAACTTCTGACTGTCCTCCCTAATAAATACTAGTTGAAAGCCCTGCAAAGTAGTCTAGTTTGATTGCTATTCAAAATGTTAGGCAGTCCCACTATAGACTGAGAAACTTTCAAGGTTTATGGACTTCAGCTTGCGGAGTGGGACAAATAAGCCACAGGATATCGCTTACCTAGCCAGTGTTTAATCTCCTGAATCTTTTGCAATCTGCTTCTCTCATATGGGCATCAGGAAGGATTCCCAAGCAGACTGTCTCTCTTCTGTTTTCAGGGAGCTTTAATATCTTAATAAAGATTACCGAACATGGCCCAGGTCTACTACTGCGTTGTGTTCTGTGACAAACTGGGCATCTCTTCCTCAGTTTTTACTGTAGAAAACAGGCTCCTTCACTGCCATCGCTGCATTCACCAGCTGAATATGCCATTGCCTTGTCTGAAAGTGAGAGTACAAGTCTCTTCTGCTGTTTGGGGTCAGTGGCTGCCCATCCAAAGAGTTACTACTTTTTTTTTTTTTGGTAGCAAACTCTTGACTCTTCACTGTGTGGGAAACCTCTGTCTTTGGGCAAGAAGCAGAGGGTGTTGCGGCTTTTGCAGGAGCTGGGAGCTGGGTCACTCTTGGCTGTCATCGGTGGCTACAGGCAGCTATACCTTTGGAAAGAAATTCTGCATTCCCTCTTGCAAAATGTCCCCAAAATTATCTCTGTCATCATCGGGTCTACCTCTTTGCTCATATAGTTACAGCAAGGGCAGCTATTCCAAGTGTAAGCGGAGTCAGTCTGGATACCATTTAGTGATTCATGTCCTAGAAAAACATGGTTTTCCTGTTTCTATAGTAGACACATTGTTTCTGGCTGTCTGCTTAGAGCAGTGGCTTGGTGTTTGGGAAATGCTTGCAACTGAGGGCATCTGCCTTTTTTTTTTTTTTTCAAACAAACAAAAATATTGAAAACAGAAAAACCCCCAAGCCTCAAACTTTATTCTCATATTTCTAGGCTGGAGATTAGGGTATAGTTGCACATCTGTAATAATAATGATGATAAAAAACAACCACACACCAAACCACAGTTCAAAGGGAGTAATAAAGAATGGCTTACCCAATCTCTGTGCATGTGAAACATTAATTAGCATGCATTCTTCAGAGTTTTATTTAACATGTGTATGACTTCCTGAAAGTATATAAAAATATTATTCAAAACAGAGATAACAAATACAGAGGTAGTACAGAAAAAAACAGAAAGAGAAACTTATTTACTTTGTAAATCAGTTTTCATATGTAAAAAATCAATCCAAGTACTTAAAAAATCTGAAATTATTCCAGCATATGGAAATAAATTGGTCATAAATGATCTTCTGCAATATTAAAGTGTTTCAGGCATACCTTAAAAATAAAAAACACAAACCAACCAACCAAAAAAATCCCAAAGCACCCAAAAAAGCCAACACGATCAAAACTCCGTAATCTCCAAGTTGCTCTTGTGCTCCTTTTCCTGCCATCCACTCTCCCCAGGGTTTGTCATCTTGTGCTGTCAAGTGGGTCATAAGTCACAGCAGTGGTGACTGTTTCTAGGTCAGACACTAACATGTTGGGAAGAGTGATTTTGTAAGATGCATAGAAATAGTATTTGAGTTTTACAGTAGGAAAGTACTGAATTGCTACAAAGTACTGCATGAACTTTATACCACAGACTCGTTTCACTGACCTGGTGGTAGTGACATGCCAGTTTTACAGCTGGTACAGTAATCCATCTCAATATTGTTTGAAAAGAAGAAGAAGGGAAAGGGGAATTTTAGCTACATGTCTCCAGAGGTGGTAGGGGAAGGAACTGAACTGTCTTGGTTGTTACCCTGGCTGTTCTGTTATCTTTGTCGTTTATTATACACGAAGCACTTAGCACATTTGCACCATTTTTAAAAGGTATTGTAAATGAGTTCAAACTGCAAAACCAGGCTGAACTGCTCTGGTTTTATTAGCATCATACTTCAGCATCTGAGGAAGGATATGCACTTTCAGAAAGTTAAACTTGTTTTTAACAAACAAGTTACCCTTGAAGACTTTTCCTGCCACTCTTTGATTGTGCCTGTTAAAAAGAAAGGCAACTAGTGAAAAAGCAGTGGTAGGGAAGGAGGCATGCTTTTAAGAGAAAAATGTATGCATATGCCAACTGAGATCCTGTAGATTGTGTGATTTAGATGTTACAAAATCTCTAATAACAGTGGTGCAGGTGAAGTTGTTATGTGGACTGATGGTGACTAAAGTCTTTGTTTTCCATCCTTCCTAGAAATTAAGAAGCCACCGGTGGCCCCCAAACCAAAATTTGTGGTAGGACACAAGGCGACGCCTCCACCTGTTGCACCAAAGCCCGACGTTGTGCTTTCTAGTGTTATGCAAGTAGCAAAGAAAACCAAGCCAGCAATTGCACCGAAGCCAAAGGTTCTCAAGAGTTCATCTGTTCCGGAAGTTAAACCTCCATTGTCTACTAGAAAAAGCACAAAAAGCTTTGAGGAGCACAGGGGAGATTCTTCTCAAACGCTAGACCACTTGAACTACAAAAATGAAGCGGTTGAAGGGAGTACTGATAACACAGCATATATTCTACCAATGTCATCTTGCAAATTTGAATGTCTGCATAAGGTTGGAAATGGGGAGAACACCTGTAAATCTCAGATCATTTTTGAGCATTTTGAAAACTTAGAGAACATCAAAGTCGGTGAAAAAAACACACTAGCTCTGGGCAACAGTCACAGTGAAAAACTGGCAAACAGAAATCAAGTGGTTTTGAAAGCCAGCATTTTGGAAGAGAAACTTAAGGATGTTCTAACTCATGGCGTGTTTCCTAACAGCAGTCCTGTGAGGCACAAGTATGCAGACAAACTTGACAGAGGGGATGGCAGCAGTTCCAAGAACGATGTTAAAATAGAGTTTATGGAACTCGTACAGTCTTTGTCGTCTTCTGAGGTGGCTAAAGGGAAGCAACAAAATACTGATGGTAAGCTCACTGCTGATGAGTTTCAGATGTCTGAAATTTATCCTAGTTTGACTGAAAATAGCCACAGTTGCTCTTGCCCATTGGACCAGGAAATCCTGGAAAACGAAAATTTAAGTAGCAATAGTATGTGTTCAGGTGAAGTGGGTATGAAAGCAGACGCTGATAAAACCTCCTCTGAAACATCTTCAATCCTGAGCTCAAAAATGCTTCCTATCCCTAAGCCAAGGAAGCCACGTGCTGCATGTCTAGTCCGTCAGGATGGCATAGACACCACAGGGGAAGGAAAAAAGGAACCATCTAACACAGAGAAAAATTCCTTCGGGCTTGTGGAGCACAGCTTTAAAAAGCCAGCAAAAATTAATATCCTTGGCCAAAGCGTTTGCTACAACAATAATACAGAAGTGCATCATCCTGAAAAATGTGACACAACTCAAAGCAATGCAGATAAAATGCATCAGGTGACGGAACCTGCTATGGAAGAGTCAACTTCACAAAATCTTTTGCCTCAGTTGTCACACAAAACTTCGGATTCGGTGGAAAGTGTTGAATGTTCCTTAGATACAGACCAGAACTTAGTTAACTCCATGGATGAGATGACAGATGATACCAGTATGCTAGATGCTGTGGACAAAAGGACTAACTTTGTCAGGTGTGATGCTTTGTCCATGAGTTTGCCAAAGCAACTCAAATTAACTAGCAGTCAGCACTCATCTGCTTCCAATAGCCTCCATGTTTCCCCACAAAAACTGGAAGATAAAGAAGTTAAAATAAAGGATGAAAGTTCTCCAAAAATCATTCCTAAGAAACCGCAGAGGCACAGCCTACCAGCTGCTGGCCTGCTGAAAAAAGCTGCATCCGCAGAGATTGTGGAGAAAAGTTCTTACACCTCCAGTGAGCACAAATCAAACGGCATTCTGGAAGGATCTCACTTCACACATCCACCAGCCAAGGAGCAAGGCACACTGTCATCCTGTGACATACCCAGACGTTCTTCTGAGAAACCTGTCTGGAAGTTACCTCATCCTATTCTTCCATTTTCAGGAAATTCTGAATCATTAAAAACTGCTAACGTTGCTACCAGCTTCAACCACTTGACTGTTGTGACAAAGCCTAGGGCCAAATCTCTCTCTTCTGTGGAAATGGAAAGGACAGACAAGCCTTGCAAAGACCATCAGAAGAAAAATAGCTTAAAGAAGTTTCTCAACATGAAACTGTCGGTTTGCTTGATGAAAAGCGACTTCCAGAAATTTCTGTCTAAAGGCAGCCAGTCAATGGATAGTGCTATTGCCAACCTTTCCACCGGCGATGGGTATGGAAGTGGTAGCAACCGGAATATAGCATCTGTAGGCAGTGAAAGGAAAGCTAAATCTGCCAAGGCGCATTCTGTAGAAATAAGTAGTCCGGCATTACAGAAGAAGAGGCAGAGAAACAGAAGTCAACCTGAGGTGCGAAGTAACCAAAGGCTGGAGTCTTTAGACGGGCATGTACTTTCAGGAGAGAATTTGTCACAAATGCATTTGAATTCTGTAACCAGCACTTGTGCTCCAGAGTATGAGAATGTGCGTCACTATGAGGAAATACCTGAGTATGAGAACCTGCCTTTTGCTATGGGTGCTGGGAGAAATCTCTGTTTCGAATGGCAGAACTCCAGCAGCGTGAAAGACCAGAGCTCTGGCTTCTGTGAGGTTGAGGAGCCTTGTGAAGCTACAAGCAGGCATTTGAGACTTGGCAGGTAAAATAAAGAAAAAAGGGAAGTTAAACAGCTCCATTGTAACTCTGTTGGTTGCAAACATGTTTAGGTGATGACTTGAGAGGCTGTACCCTTTTGTTAAATGTCAGCAGGACAGTCATTGCTGTATATCTTTATATGCTTTCGGTGTTTTGAAAACTGTTTGCACTTGGTAAAGAGTCAAGAGGAAAAATAAGCTAGCTATTCCTTATATATGAGAAAAATTTGGGAAACTAACGTATGTGCTTTTACTAAAAATGTGGGAAACTGATGTATGTGCTTTTCCAGATTTAAAGCACATCAGATGCAGTCATGTGTTTGTATCCAAGAATACGTAAATGGAGAGGAATGAACCCTACCACAGTCTTGGGATGAACTTGAATAAGTGTCCATAGAGTGCATAGTTGCTAGGTTTGCAGGTGGAATGACTATCTTTTTAGATCAGCTGATAGAGCTGGGAAAAGCAGACAGGCTTTTTGGGTGTGTGAATTCTTCATCAGGTCTTGAAAGCTTTTTGGGTATAACAAAAGATATAGCCTCTCCCTGAATGTAGCGAGTCTTCTGTACCTCTCTGTGCTTCCAGATGCAATACAGGTAGTAGCAGCGCACGAGTTCTGCATGAGTCGTGCAGAATATTACTGAAAGACAGGGTTTGGTGACTCTGCATGAAGGTTGTTGCTGTGTTTTGTTGTCTCAGGAGGTTGTAGGGACAGCTAATATCAGCAGATTCAAAAAAGGATTAGACCGATTCACAGATATGTCCGAAACAGATGCAAAATGGAATAGGCAGGAACAGATCTTGTAATACCTGTAATACTGTGTCTATGGATGCTGGGAAGAGGAACAGGCCACAGATAGTGGCCAGGCTCATATGTCCTCCCCAAATGGCATCGCTTGCTGTGCCTGTCACAGTGTGGTAGCAGGTGAAGCATTGTTTTGACCCGGTACGGTACTATTTAACTTCTTAACTTCAGCTGATCAGTTGGTCTTACAGATCCTCAAGATCTATCCCAAACCAGCAATGGGGATTTGAATGAAATATGCAGCCTGTATACTTCATAGTCCTCAACAAACTTCTTTACACTGTTGAGGGTATATGCATGTTGACAAGAATAAATGAGCTAGCTTATAGATAGTCACATTAACTTTGTTTTTTGCTGAGAGTTACTAAGCTTCAGTGAATTCTGGAGGTGTGTGTAGCAAACACATGCTCCAAAGAATCTGAGAGCTGGCCATTCTTTAGGGGAGTATGTCCTCTTATATAGGAGGAGGCAAACGTTTAAGTGGCATCCTCTGTCAGTAATTGTTTATAGAGTTGGTATTCTCAACATTAGACTGTTTGGTGAAAAGCGTGAAGCCTTATCACAGGAATCAGGTTTTCTGGTTATGGACTTGGTATAGGTATATTTATTCACGTGGTGGTTGGACATTTTTCTTGTTTACAGTAGGGTGTTTCTTGGTTTTGTCTCTATACAGTTTAAGTTCCTGACAGTGTATGCTTTTTGTTTAAATCTAATCTTTGGGTATCTTTTGGGGGTTTTGGCCACACTCTCTTAATATTCCCTTTTATTGGTTTACCTAAGAAGGGTGAGACCAAACTTAAATAAGCATATATTTTATGTGTTTGTGCTATCTATTTTAATTTGTGTTGTGGTTCTGGATCAGGTGAATGATGTATTTGCTGTAGGAAAAGACCTGTTTTGCTATATGGAGTATGGTAGGCATGAGACTGCAGTTGCTCCTTGCGTGAATTTCTGTAGTTTTCCTACCTGGCTGAGTGTGAGAGGTTTGTAGTTATTCCCTCTCCATGCAAACCTTTCCCAGTACCAAAGGTGTTTTAAGGGTTTGGGTGATCTCTTGCACCCTGGCACGTCTGCAACTGTAGCTGCTCCCTAAGCTGGATGTTCTTGATGTAACTGGATTTGTGTTGTGTTTTTCTCTTAAAAGCATGCCATGGAAAAGCATATTCAGAACCCTGTATGTAAGTGTTTATTTTAAACTAAATTATGTAGTCAGAAACTACCTTAGGAAATGATTAATACATGCAGTTACTTCAGTAGATCTCAGGGAACAAAGAAGTCCCAAGGAGAAAAAGGGACACTATGGGGCAGTGGTCTCCTGACCCACACCAGCTGCCACTGGAACAGCAGGTACAGGTATTCATTTTGGCTCTGGCTTGGAAGGTGTAAAGGTCCTTGCCCGGACAGAGCCAGGCGGGCAGCTTCTCCAGTTTTCCCATCTGTTGTTATCTCGGATCCTTTGAAGTTTCTTTATCAATGTCCTCTTACCTTTTCTGCATAGTTCTTTAAGAGCCTTTTATCATTTCCTGGGCCAAGTGGTATTATGAAACCGGTTAGAGAAACAGTGCTGATGTTATTGAAATAATTACCGCTCATGTTTTCCCCAGCCTGTCAGAACACGCACTTAGCTCTTTTCTGTAGATCACAGAACACAAAATTCCTGTAATACACTGCTAATGGAGATCTCAAAGCAAATTATCTTATGATTAAAGCCAACGTACAAATGAGATTGTTCTTCTGAGAAATTCGTAGACCAATTGCCTGCACTTCTAGTCATAATAGCACACATGCAGTATATTAATTCTGAATGCCAGGCTTGCCATTACTAGAAGAGTTTGGTGCTGTCTCTACCCCATGTTACATTTCTTTCTGGAGGAGGAAATGAAATTTTTATAATGTATCCAGTACTGTGGTGGTTACTGAGAAATTTCCTCCTGAACACATCTGGTGACACCAGTATGCTTTAATGGAGAGTGGTAGTTGCTTCTGGTGCTTTTATCCTAAATTCATGTGTCTTAGTGACTTCAGATACATTTTGTTTGCTTGGGCCTCTCCACAGAGATTTAAATGGATATGGTGGGCCTAGGTAATCAATGAAGGGTATCAGTTATCACTTACCACTTGATTTTTGAGTTATGTGATGTGAGCCTCCCTTCTGCAGAAGGTGGGCTTGGCTTTGAAAGGAAGGGAACTTGGGTCCTGATGTGGCGTGTGAGCTGCTGAGGTGGGACAGGCACTGCGGATGGGAGACTGATGGGTTCCGCTTGTTTTAAGTAGTTCAGGGGAATGTTCTCAGTAAAGAAAGTTATGATAATAGCTTGGGAGCGGGTAATCCATGTTTAGTTTCCACTATAGACAAAAGAAGTCTCTTGAGATGGTTTTTAAGGATTGTTTATTTTGTCCTAGTCCAGCTGTTTGACTACCAATTTAAAATGGAGAATCAAGGTAAATAAGTTATTGTGAGGACTCTGTAAACAAAGTGAGTGAAGAATAGGTGCTGTGAGATAGAAAAGGTACTGTTAAAAGAAGTTTTAAATATCATTATCCAGTTGCAGATAATAACAGGGGAAACAGCTCTTTCGGTTTGGGTTTTTTTTGGATAAATTAATGGTTCAGGCCTGAAAAGTGAGGTGACATGTCAGTGCTGCTGGTACCAGCATTATCTTTATATTGTCAGAGACCAGTGGTTGTAACAGTTCTGTTTTGAAGTAACACCATTTTTTTTTTAAACCTAATAAAAGAGAAATATTTATGCTTTGGTTATCTTCTTTTTAGTGACAAACCTTTATTCTGAGGAGGACAGCAAAATCTTCCTTAAAACCAAAAGTAAAATTGAGTGTACATTTGTCCAGTAATCTAAAGATGCAAAGGAACAGTGAACGTGCCTTGGAACATTTGTCATGCTGCAGAAAACAGAAACTTAAACTTTTCTGGATCTTGTGGGTTCCTTTGGCTGTTTCTTACATTGCTCTAGGCAAGAGAATTGTAATTCAGGTTGAGTGAGTCTCCTCCTTCGCGCTTCAGGGAATAGCATACTGTATTCACCGGCTACTTTGGACAGTGTTCCTTCAAGATGTTGCAAATGTACATGACTGCTAATTGATTTTGATGAAATTTGTAGTTGTGTCATCATGATTGTGTTTCTGGCTCGGATTTTCCTTTGGAAAGAGCTGGGGGAGGAGTACCATGTGACAACAATCCTTTGAGAACTTACTGTTGGTTTAATTAAATACTGCTTCCTATTTCTCCCACCCTTGCCGATTTAGAATAATCCATTGGTTTTCCAGAAATGAGCATCTCAATACAAAATGTAAGCTTAGTTTTCTGGACTGAATTCTGCTTTGGTGACTGAGTCCCCAGAGGTCAATTAAGTGGCCATGAAAGCCTTCCTGGAATATTGAATTTAGTATTGAAATCTGTCTGGTTAAGCACTTTGCTTTGATACATATTCCTCTTTGATGTACTGAACCTTGTTAGGGTTGAGACATGCTTCTGATGAGCAGCATTGCACCAGATAAATGTGGTGTTGTTTAGGGACTGGCTGCATTAAGGAAGGGGTTTTTTTTTTTCCAATTGCAAAATTCCCATTCAAAAGCATTTCAAGAGAAACACTAAATTCACAAATACTGCAGGGTCTAAGTAGCATTGTAAAATAGTTTTCAAACCCTTATGCTAAGATTTGAATGTGAAAACCTCATTTTCTTTTTACTGGATTTTATTGAGGGATATAATTTCCTGAAAAGTAGAGGCCAGGTATGTAGATTTTTTTAATTTTGTTTGCTTCTTAAAGATGATAATGGATTAGTTTCTGATCTGAAGGAGGTAGGTTTCTTTTCCACCATGAGCTCTGCTGTCTTGTCCTGTCTTCCGATTTCCCCCTGTGCTTTTTAGCTGGTTATCTCCCCCTGTGCTTTCTAGCTGGCTTCTGCCACCCTTAGTTGTGCGTTAAATTCTTTCTCTGCAATTGCACCTCAGGTTTTAATGAAATAGCTCTGCTAATATGTTGTTGGGTTTCCTGTCAGGCTTCATTATCTTTGGTCATGTGCTATCACTGGCTTTCTTTTTATATTCTGCTTCCCTGAGCCTGCCTTTTTCTTCTCCCCTGCCTACCTCGCTTTCTCACGTACGTGTTATGCAGCTGGTAGGCTTCTGCCAGCTCCGAGGGCTTGTCGGCAAAGGGTGAGTCAGGCGGCTCAGATCCCC